AGGCCCCACCCCAACACGCCTCGCCCCGCCCAGTGGCCCCGCCCTCTCCGGCCGCCGCACTCTTCTTTTGCCCCGCGCCTGCGCCGCTCCTGGAGCTCGACGCTCGGCCGGCTGCGCCTCCTCGGGCCGCCCGCCACCCGCCCCATGCGGACCCGGGAGCGTCCTCGCCGGCCCTTTTCTCTCCCGAGGACCCAGCGGGGGTCCCAGGGGTGGCCTGGAGGGATCCTTGTGTCCGCAGAACCCGCGTGGACACCCCACGGGGCCCTCTCACCTGGGCGGCTCCACCCGCGGCCATCTTGAAAGTGGGAGGCGGGTGGGCGGGGGCAGGGGCGCGCGCGGGCGGGGCCAGGCGTGGGCAGCCGAGTGGGAGTGCATCGATGGGCGCTCTGCTGGCAGGTGCGTGCGAGGCCGGGCTCCGCTGGGCGTGGCTTCTGCTGGCCCAGGGGCGGGACTTCGGCGTGTCCCCGCCTCACGGTCGTTAACCTGAGGAGCCGGCTGCCGAAAAGCTCTGTTCATTGGAGCTGTGCACTGTGGCTCGGTGGTCCTCAGACCTGCACTTTGGTGTCGCCTGGAGAGCTTTTGAGAGCCCTGGTGGCGCAGTGGTTAAGAGTTCAGCTGCTTACCAAAAGGTCGTCAGTTCAAATCCACCAGCCGCTCCTTAGACATTCTATGGGGCAGTTCTACTCTATCCTATAGGGTGGCTTTGAGTCGGAATCCACTGACAGCAAGGGGTTTTTTTTTTTTCTCTGTGGGGGGAGGGAGCGGGGCTTTTCGAGCCCTGGTAGGACAGTGATTAAGAACTCGGCTGTTAACCAAAAGGTAGGCAGTTTGAATCCACCAGCCGCTCCTTAGACATTCTATGGGGCAGTTCTACTCTATCCTATAGGGTCGCTATTAAGTTGGAATCCACTCAACAGGTTTAGTTTTATTTATTTATTTATTTATTTTTGGTTTGGACAGCTTTGAAAAGTCCCAAGTCGTTTAAATCACCACGCTGGAGGTGGGGGACTCACAGTGAGGGGTTTTCGGAAGCGGTCTCACGTGCAGATCCGTTTGGGGAACACTGGCCCGGCATGATTTCACTTCAACGCTGCAGAAACAACCCCAGAGACGGGGTGGTGAAGAGCTCAGCTGGTCGGAGCCACCTTACAGAGGGGAACGGTCTCCGAGATGCGGACCCCTGCCCCAGTGCCGAGTCAGCAGCAGAGCGGGGTCAGAAGCCAGGCGCCCCACCCTTCACCCCCTCCCTGCCACTCAAGAAGGTGATACAAGCCCCGAGTGAGACGGGTGTAGGCAGCGCCTGCTAGGTGGTCACTGACCCTCACCCCTCAGAACGAAGGCTCCTTGAGCCAGACTGCGCTGACTTGTTCTCGGCCGGATTCCCTAGGCCTGGCGCGTGTCGGCTGCCATGGCGCCGACGGTGGTGACCCCATACGTGACCGAAACGCTGCCCGGTCCTGCGCCATCTTCACCATCACTGGTGTGTCTGCGTCCACTGTTGCAGCCAATTGTGTCAGTCCACCTCATGAAGAGTTCCCTCGTCTTGGGTGACCCTCTACTTTACATCCCGGATGTCCTTTTCCAGTGAGTGGTCTTTCCTGATGATGCGTCCAAAGTAAGCGAGCCAGAGTCTCGCCATCCTCGCTTCTAAGGAACATTCTGGTTGTGTTTCTTCTGGAAGACTGATTTGTTCCTTCTTCTGGAATCCACGCTGTGTTAAACCTTCCTCGGCAACACCACAGTTCAAAGGCGTCGGTTCTCCAGTCTTCCTTTTCACTAACCGGCTTTCGCATGCATACAAGGCAGCTGAAAATACTGTAGTTTGGGTCAGGCGCATCTTAGTCATCTAACAGACACTGAAATATTTGGTGAAGTCTCATCCCAGTCCGTGAACATGATGGGGAGGGGTGGGAGCCGAGGTCTGGGTTCTACAGACCAGGGGCCTGACTGTTGTCACAGGCAGAGGAGCTGCCAGAACGGATGCCTCAGACTGATTGAATACAGGGGGGACTTGAACCAGCAGCACAGCCAGGGGCAAGACTGGTCATCTCCCTGTCACAGAAAGCATCTGGAAGCCTGCAGCAGGAGATTAATTTGTCTGGACTTTGGTATTTAGGGGTGGTCTAAGGAACCCATAATTTGCTTTCCCTCCTGATCACAGATCTAAAAACTCTTAGTGCCTACTAGGTGTGCTGGCAGAGTCCCTGCAAAAGGTTAATGTGCTTGGCTGCTAACCAAAAGGTTGGCGGTTTGATTCCACCCAGAGGCACCTCAGCAGAAAGACCTGGCAATCTACTGAAAAATCAGCCACTGAAAACCCTATGGAGCTCAGTTCTCCCCTGACACGGGGTCACCAGGAGTCGGAGCCAACTCACGGCAGCTGGTTAGCTATGTTGGCACGAGGGGGTGTGAATTTTAAAAACACAATCTTAAGGGCCCTGGGTGGTGAAAACAGTTTGTGCTCAGCTGGTAACCGAAAGGTTGGCGGTTCAAGCCTATCGAGCAACATCGCAGAAGAAACAGGCCTGGGGAAGTGCTTCCGAAAAGATTAGAGCCAAGAAAACCCTATGGAGCAGTTCTACTCTGTAACACACTGGGATCTCTCCTAAATCACACACACACACAAAAAGTCTCTTGCTATAATACAGTAACGCCCCTCATGGTGCTTGGTGCATAAAAGGAGCCTAATAAATGCTTACATTTTAAATAAGAGTTAATACCAGGTCTCCTTCAAACCCCACGCGCCCTCCCTAGCTTATTTTAAGTCAGCTCTGCCAGGACACTGCAGTCTTGCTTCAGTCCTGTCTTAATTAGCAATTTAATACATCGGATTGGCAAATCTGCTTTTACAGTGTTCCTTCCAACTCCCCAAACTCCTTCCAGTCCTAATTCTGTGTCTCGGGGTCTTAAGATCCCACAATGACAAGGCACCACTGTTCTGTATCCGGAAGCAGCCAGTGTGATCTGCTGGTGTTCATCTGGCGCCCCCTGTCGGCGTTTCCCCATGCCCCTCGCCATCCAGCCGCCTCCTGACTGAAGCCTATAAATGAGCTCAGCCAGCCCCCGTCCCAGGAGGAGCAAACCCCCCGGAGGCTACTCCCAGCCACTCTCCGGCTACAGCTGCCTCCTACACGGCTACAGGTCTACACTGCCACCCAGCCCTTCCCACTGCGCTTCTGAAAGCCCTGAGGGCACCAGTCTCCTCATCTGTAAAGTAAGGGGGGTGGGGCCCCGGGGGTCTGCATGTGGGAGGGGGCCAGGGGGCTCCAGGTGTCCCACCCGACGAGCCGAGCAGATGACAACCTGAGAAGCCCCGTGAGCCCCTTGAGGCCACGTGGCCAGAAAAAAGGCCCCGCGGAGGAGCAGGAAGACCGGAGCTCCACTACAGCTGTGTGATGAGGGGTGGGGGGCAAACACATCATCAGAAACCGTGCTGCAGACCTCCGGCCAGTTGTGGGGTTTACTGAGGTCTGGTGTGGAATGAGACAGCCTAGAGTCTCACAGGGGTGATTTTAGATGTAAGAGGGGACAGCGCGCTCAGCCGGCTGAGAAGCACTCACTGTATTTGGATATCAAAGGGAAACACTGGTTTCCCATTGACAGAAGAGATACAGTGTCTTTGTTAATGTGGTTGGGTGCATGGGGTTGATTCTGACTCCTAGTGAGCCCATGTGACAGAGTGGAACTGCCCCACAGGATTTCCTAGGCTGTAATCTTAACCAGAGCAGACTGCCAGGTCTTTCTCCCTCTGAGCCATTGGGTGGGTTAAAACCACCAACTTTTTGGTTAGCAGCCAAGCGCTTAACCATTGTGGCACCAGGGCTCCTTATCTTTGTAAATAAACCTGTTTAAGTTCCCTCTCACCTCCCTGCCTCTGCACTTGCTGTCTGTTCCCTACATCTACAACTCCCTTCCACACAAATCATGACCCGAGTCATCCCTCAGAATTCAACCTGGTGTCCCCCCTGGGCGGGTGCTTCCCTGGCCCCAGACTGTTCCTGCCTGCTGTTCCTCCATTACCCCACTGTCCCCCGAGAGAAGGGGGAACCTCAGCAGCAGCAGGGACAGGCCTGCGTCCTAGGAGACGCCAGCACAAGAGGATGGGGAGCGTTGTCACTGTCCCGCAGAGAAGGACGCTGAGATCTGGCAAGCTGAGCCTGCAGTGGCAGCTGCGCCCGGACAGGATGGCGTCCTCCACACTGGCCCGGGCAGGGCTGGTCCCGGGGACCTCGGCCAGCCGCAGGGCCCACGTGGTCTGCGAGTTTTGCCCCTGGGGACTTGTTTCAGGTTGCAGAAAGTTGCTCTTTTATCACTCCTCAAATATTTACCGAGTACCGAGGGGGCACCAGATCGGGTGGTGAACGCTAAGAACACATAAATGACGAAGAGACTGTCCTTTCTCAGTTTGCACGGGAGACAACTGTGTAAAAGGATGGGTTATTTTGTTGTTGTTGCTGAGATACACATAAAACTTGCCGTTTTAACTATTTTAAGTGTACAGTTCAGTGACACTATAGTCACCATATTGTGCAGCTGTCACTTCTACTTCCAGAACCTTCTCATCACCCACCAGAAGCTCAGTGCCCCTTAAGCAGTACTTCCCCTTCCTCCCTCCCCCCAGCTCCTGGGGGTCTGTAACTACTTCCTGACTCTATGAACTTGCCTATTCAGATACCTCAGAAGAGCCCCTGGGTGCTGCAAATGGTTAAATGCTCGGCTACTAATTGAAAGGTTGGAGTCTACCCAGAAGCGCCTCAGAAGGCCTGGCGATCTGTTTCTGAAAAATCAGCCACTGAAAACCCTATGGAGTATGGTTCTACTCTGACACACAGGGGGTCTCCAGAGTTGGAGTGGACTCCACAGTATTTT